GACGCTTAACCGACTGCGCCACCCAGGCGCCCCTAGACTTCCCTCTTTAGATGTCCTCTTTTAAAATGCAAGTGCCCCTTAAGAGGCCAACACAACACATGGGAATCAGGGGTCAGCATCTCAGAAGAACAGATAGATGTTACAAGACCCCATCATGGTTTGAAGGCCCTCTCACTTGCCCCTCCGTCTGGGGTGGGTCCACCTTAGCCTCAGGCTCACCTTGCTCTGAGACAGGAGCAGAAATATCTACATGGAAGCCAGTACAATATTCTACGTTTGCTGCTGACATTCTATTCATCGCTTTCCAAGGCATCTAAAGCTACAGGTCCCACACAGCAGTTTAGGGCCATTTCTGACTGGAATGTCTTTAGTCAGGGCACCCTTCGCAGTTCCTCAGGCTCCATCTCCTCCTACTGCCTGTTGCCATACGTTCGTGCTCCCTGCCTGATCGCTGAGGGCATCTGAGGTGGGGACACACCAGCTCCTCTGTGCCACTTGAGTTTGCAGGTCCAAACCCAGCCATCAACTGTAACCGATTTGCACTTCCTCGCTAGGCTGTGGGGTACTCTGAGGTTAGAGCTGGGGGGGGGGGGCATCCCATACAGGCAGCTGCTCATGGCACTTCCCCAGAGGCAGTCACATATCACTGGAGATGGAAAGATGCAAAATGTCATATGCACCAGAGAGCTGTCTCATTGCGTGCCTCAGGGAGAGTACTGTGTACTTGACTTACCATGTGAGCTGGGAGATCAGAAGAGGCAAAACTTCCAAAATATGCTTGAGCAGCCCTGCCAACAAGGGTGAGGCCTGCCCACGTGCAAGGCTTTTGTTCTGCGGAAGGGGTGTTAGAGGTGTAGCCCAAGTAATACTGGCTGGGAAGGGAATGACCATACAGCAAACTGTGAAGCCGGGCTCTTCCTGCTCCTGCCACAGCTGGCATCACGTGCCAAGCTCCCTGTTATAGCCGCCTCTCCAGCTACCGTGTACTTTGCCAGGAGATGAGCTGAAAACAAATTTGTTTTCTTGAAATACAGCTGACATACGATGTTAGTTTCAGGGGTACAACCCAGTAATTGGACAATTCTATACTACATGCTATGCTCAGCACAATAGGTGTAGTTACCATCTGTCACCACACAATATTATAAGATTACTGACTAGGGGAGCCTGGGGTGGCTCAGTCGGTTAAGCATCCGACTTTGGCTCAGGTTCTGAACTCACAGTTCGTGAGTTCGAGCCCTGCATCGGGCTCTGTGCTGACAGCTCAGAGCCTGGAGCCTGCTTCAGATTCTGTGTCTCCCTCTCTCTCTGCCCCTCCCCTGCTCACACTATCTCTCTCTCTTTCTCTCTTTCTTTCTCTTTCTCTCTTTCTTTCTCTCTCTCTTTCCCTCTCAAAAATAGATAGGTTTAAAAAAAATTAATAAAAAAATATAGCCTTGAGAATTATTATTAACATGGATTTTCATTCAGTGTCCAGTGTCCAAATAGTGACCATGTGCTGTAGGAGCTTCTGGAGTCAGAGCCCCAGCCCCTGTGTTCAGCTTACACAGCATCGATGCCACCAACCTGCCCAAGCCCAGGTTCACATGGACCCATCAGGATCCCTTCCCCCAGCGCACTCTCTGGCCAGAGATTCCCGGAGGAAGGGTCTGCATCAAATGGCCCAAATGAGGCAATATCTCTCCCTTTCCTTTTTATCTGTAAAAGGTTCTTCAAGAGGCATGCATACAGCTTAGAAGTTGAAAAGGGAAATGTGTGAGTTTGGAATTTTGTGACCTCGGACATGTAGTCCTGGAAAGTAAGTGGCAGCTGCCATCGGGAAGCTCCAGAAGGCCCCCCGTTTAATTGCCAGTCTCACCCTGCAGTGGTCTTCTTCTAGAATCACTTAGCCACCTCACTTAAGAACTGCCACACAAATATTTCAATAACATAACAAAAAACTAAATAAGAAGAAAGGACAGCAGACAAGGACCTGGTTCAGGATGTCCACCTGTCTCGGCCTGGCCTCCACTGGAGCTCTCACTTATTTTGATGTCTAGGGACTACAAATCAGTCTACTTTGATTAATGACAGCTAACATCTACCTGCCCCTTCTACCTGCCAAGTGCTGTTCTAAGCACTGTGCATGCAATAGTTCATTTACAATCACCTTTTAACAACTATGAGGTTGGTGCTATTATTATCCTCCGTTTATACCTGAGGGAACTGAGACGAGGAGATTTGCCCAAGGTGACCATTCAAACCCAGTCAGCACAACTCCAGAGTCTCTGGTCTTAACCACTATACTACTGCCCTTCCCTAACCTGCCTGGTCTGTGGTACTTGCTGGCCCCCATGCTGTCAGTCTGAATTCTCAGCCTCTGACCCCGACCTACCTGGTTACACTGTTGCTCCTAACCCAGGTGAGAGCAACATCCTCACTGGGGGTTAGGCCTTCTGCCCTATAGGAGCTTTCTGTGCCCAAGGGGCCATATCCCTCGATTATAAAACCCATTCTAGGGAGCCTGAGCTAATGCAAAACCCACCAAGGAATAAAAAGAGGGTGTCCATAATCAGAGCTTGCACAATAAACCGGTGTCAACAAGGGCCTCTAATTTTTCATGTTTCATATACTTTGGTTCCATATAGAAGTTAATTAGGTAAGAAGTTTCCATGCATACAAATGATAATACCTAAAGGCAAGAGAGAAATCCAGATTTTTTATAGCAAGTATTCCAAATTTTAACTGTTGGCAACTAAGTTGAAAATTTTAAACCCTGTGCAGGTCTAACAAAACATTTAACTGTCTGTGGTTCTTACTTTGGAATTTAAAACAGGCCTTGGCTCTCAGTGGATGCTCAAGAAGCATTCATTAAGTGCATGAATAAAAAATAAAATGAAACAAAATCCAATAATACTAATTAGATCTGAGACACTACCAGACCCCTCTAATCTAACTTGTGGTCCACACCTCCTCTAGGCTAATCCGACTCTGTAATGATTAAAAGCTTCTTGAAAGCATGCAGTGAGCAAACAAAGATTGGGAGAAAGGGGACAAGGGCTTGAAATCAGGCAGAGGAGTGGAAAAGGCCCTGAAGATGCCCTTTACCTAAGGTTGACCTTGAAAGAAATTACTTCTGGAACATCTCTCAGCCTTTCCAACACACACACACACACACACACACACACACACACACACTCACTCACTCCCTCCCTTCCTTTTTTATTCCAGGCAGATTTATGGCAGGATACATGATTATTTTATTTGAGCATATCTCCTTTTTCACCTTTGCAGTGTAATACAGATAAGGTCCATACTGTCTAGTACATCCTCTGGTAGAAAACTAAGAACTTGGGACTAAAAAATATAGTCCCAACTTTGTGATTTTCAAAACACTTTCATATCAATCATCTTATTCTATTGTTATAAACCTATGAGGCAGAAATAATTACCCCATTTTCCAAATGCAGGAGCTAGCCTGCTTGATATCACAAAGCTCCGTGGTGGCAACAAGGCCCAAGCCCAAGGTGTTGTGGCCCCAAGGTCAGTGACCGCCTCATGGCAGGGCTGCACGCACAGGGTAGCGTTGGACAGAACTGTCCAAACAAAGGGGCAGCTGGGGACTCTGGGAAGCACATTAAGTCGTTTGGGAGGCAAGGGCAGACCATTTGTTATCACCAGCACTGCACTGATAGAGGTCAAAACACAATCGGAGTACTTCCTATGTGAAAGAAAACTGAATTTTAATGAACAGACTTGGGTTTTTTTTCAGGTGACTGCTAGATTTGGGAGCTTTTCATGTCTCAGGTGAAAGACACAAACCAATTTTTTTTTAAGAAAAGAAAAGAAAAATCCTAACTAACTCCTCTACATATGACAAAATGTACAAGAGTAAGGATCGATAGTACAATTGATTGTAACAGGCCTGTGACAACCAGTGGTGACAGTCAGGCCTAACACACTGTCTTCTTTCTCAGACTTTATCTGACAGCATTATGCTACAGCTCAAAACACTTCCAGATGGATTTTTCTCTAGAGTTCTAAAAATATTCAGCTAAATTAACCTGTATGTACATTGTACTAATATTGTGAGCCACACAGATTAATCTATTGGTCCAAACCTCCCCTGCGACTCTGGAATGGTCATTAACCCTTTGATTACTCCCCCAGTTATGCTGAGCCAAAGAAAGCCTTCATTTAACCTTCAGAGTTTGCCAAGTGGGAGCTTTCATTCGCTGTCATTGGTGTTGCCAAACTGCCTCAGTGTAGAAGGTGTTCCCCTGTTGTGGTGGGGATGGGGACCTGGTGACCCTGTGACCCCCCAAAAGAATTTAACACAACTACAGTGGGGCTTTAGGGGTGGAGTTTTCCCTCAGGCTTCTGCATACCCCAAACTATGGAGCAAACACCTGTTAGTCACCAGGGCCCTCGGGTAATCAATGCCTGGAATGGAACGGGACACGGCTACAGTTAGCAGCTCAGCTACTCCAAGCTTGTCTCACGTTACACTCCCAACGGGTAACGACGCTATGAAATCAGAATCAAAGCAGCAAGAATCAGAACGCTCTCTGGAAGCTACAGGCACGTGGTCCTTACAATCTTCTCTGTTTTGAAACCAGAAACACAAAGCACTTTCGTATCAATCATCTTACTCTATTTTTATCATCTTGTAAGGCAGAAACTATTACCCTATTTTCCAAATGCAGGAACTAGCTTGCTCCATATCACACAGCTACTCAGGGGCTTTCATTCTGCTGTCACCAGTGTTTGTCAAACTGCCCCGGGGTGGAAGGCACTCCACTGTTGTGGCGGGGAAGGGGGCCTGGTGACTGCGTGACCCCCACAAAAGATTTTAACACAACTATAGTGGGCCTAGATTCAACCGATGGTCTTATGTGCAAGCGAAGTTATTTTGTTTCCTTGAAAAACAGCACAGCTCTAATGGCTCAATCAAGTTTCTTTGGACCAGCATTACCACCAAGAGTAACCAAACAATCTCCTCTTCAGGAAGAAAAATTACACCTCATCCCGAGTGATGGTTCAGTCCAGTCCGGCCATGAAAACCACCTGAGATTCATAAAGAGCCAAGGCAGGCGACAGCCAGGTTCCCAAGGATCCTCAAGGTCTTCTGTCCCCACCTACATCCTGGACTGTTGACTCTGGGGAGACAAGCCATCTCCCTGGCAAACGGTCTTTGTCTAACTCCAGGTCATCATGAGCACAGGGGACTGAAAGTCCACATGAGCACGCAGGGAGTAGCGTCGTAGCGCTGTGTCTGCAACCACGATCCAAGTCTGACTGCCTGTGTTGAAATCCAGGCTGTGTGTCTTTCCCTATGACCTTGGCCACATTACTTAACATTTTCGTACCTGTCTCTCTTCTTCTGCAAAATGGAGATAACTACATATGCCTGGAGTCTTGTCGGAATTATATGAGTTGGGCACGAAACTGCTTAGGAGGGTGTCTGGTACGTTATGTACTTTGGGGGGAAGAGGACTGAGGGTGGAGACATTTCCTGGCTAGGCATCCCTGCCTTCCTTCTTTCCCCCAGAATAGCAGTTCACCAAAGTCCCTTGCCAATGCCATTCCCACAGCCCTCTGCTGCCCCCTGCTGACAGCCGGTTGAACTAGTAGTGTAACTTGGTTCTCTCAGCTTCACTTCCCCTCATTCCTTTCCCAGAGAGAACCTTACTCTACCGCCATGCTGAAATACAGAGCATTCCTGTAAAATGCCATGCCTTAGGCCTTGACTTACACCGTTTCATCCACCTGGCATGCCCTTCCTCCCTCTCCATCAACCTGTCAAAGCCACGCCCACCTCAAATGCCATGACATTGATATAGCCTCCCTGTGCTTTTCTCCCCACCTCATAACCCATGAGGAACACGTGACTCATTACTCGCATCACATTCTTCTCTGCATTGTAATTAGTTTTGAGCTTGTCTTATCACCTCTTGCCATTAGATCAAAACTATGCCTTCTGTCTCTCTCATTTTCCCAGCAGCACACGTGTCCTGACCCCTCTTCACAAAGACATGCTCAGCCAGTACTTGTGCAGTAACTACAGCCTCACCATTGCCACCCTGCCCCCAACTGTGTCATCCCTCATTATCTCTCACTTCAACTATCGCAGTAACCTCCTAACTGGTGTCCCCAGATCCACTGAGAGCCCACCTCCATCTTTTGTCCACGGGGCAAACCGCACTTCTGAAGGGGAAAAAAACAAAAAGGTGATCTTGGCACTAGCCCAGTCTCCCACCCTTTCAACTGCTTCTTACTGCTTTTAGGAGACAGTCTAAAATCCTTATTGTGGCCCAAATCTGCAAGATCCTCTTCCTTCATTCCCTGACCTGCAGCCATACTGGGCTTCTTTTAGAACATTCTATGTTCTCCTGCAGCAGAGACTTCCTAAGCTGCCCCCTCTTGCCGGAAGCCTCTTTCCCACCTCACCCCCAGCAACCCCATCCTTTGATCTAGCTCAAACATACCTAGGAAAACCTTCCTTGACCCTCTTCCTACATCTGATTTGCCTGTGCCTATGCTCTCACAGCAGTATCTTTCTAACAAAAGTTTCATCGTATTTGTGAATTTCTGTTCGTAGTTATTTGATTAATGTGTGTCTTCCCTTTAGGACTATAAGGTCTATGGGGACAGGAGCTATGTCTGCTTTTCCTCACCACTGTGTTCCCAGCTGCCGGCATAATGCCACACATACATCAGGCACACAATAGACATATAGTTAATGAATAAACAAATCAAAGGAGCCATGTTAAACAGAATCTTGGCCAAATTATCAAAATATGTCAAATCTATTAAACCTAAAACCTTATAGTTATTCCATTTCTATCACTCATATTTAAGTCACTCAATTATAGACATAAAGGTAGGTGGGTAGGTAGATAGGTAGGTAGATAGATGATTGATAGATAGATAGATAGATAGATAGATAAGACAGACAGACAGACAGACAGACAGACAGACAGCGATGGCTTCTCTGAAACACTTCAACAAGAAGCCAGAAAGATTTTTCTGATGCTTACCTTCAGTGCTCATATCTGGGGTCGGCATCCAGATGTAGACCAAGCCTTCTTCCTTATATAGCTTAATCATGGTGTCTGGAGTCATGGGTTCTGGGTAGCGGTTACAGCCTGAGGAATTCTGTACAATATCCCATTCAGTCTGGAAATTCATTACAGCCGTAATCCCCAATTCGTGCTTCAGTTTGATGGTTACATGCTCCACTTGACGAGGGCAGCTACCCAGCCAGATATTTGGGAGAATTCTAATGAGAATACATAGAGGCAACTATTATTATTGTTACTGTTATGGTTTGAGGTCTGAGGAGCTACAGAAAATATGTGGTAATAAAATGCAATTAACCTTTAAATCTGACACAGGAAATTCTGCATTAACAATATTAGATGTTGTAACAATATTATTGATATAATAATATTATTATTGAAAGAAAAAATACCGTAATGTTGTTTTTAAGGAAACAAACAATTCAATTAACTAAAATGCTAGGAAATAGGCAATAGCAAGACAAATCCAGCAACATATTAAAATAAGTCCACCAAGTTGTATTTATTCCTTGATTGTATATGTGGTTCAACATTTGGAAACTCATCCACATATTTCAAACACTAATAAGTTAAAGGCAAAACTCCCATGATTATGGGAGTAAATCCTATAAAACATTTACAAAAATCAGCCATCATTCCTGTTTAAAACTCTGCGTAAAAATTTCAAATAGTAAGAGAACTTTTAAACACCAGAAACTAACAAACAATAGTCTTCTTTTAAACAAAATCAAAGTCAAGATTATATCTATTAGTACCCAACATTGTCTTACATGTTTCACCTAATGCTACAAGTTAAGAAGAAATATAACTATCTGTAAAAAATCAAAAAAGAAAAAGAAAATGTCATTATTTTTCAACTATGTTTCCATATCTAAATATCCCAAAGTCTAGATTCTACCCTCAAAGTTTCTGAGTCAGTAGATCTGGGTTGAGAGTCCAAGAATTTGGACTTCTCTAACAAGTTCCCAAGCAATCCTGATGCTTCTAGTTCAGGGCAAAACTTTGAGAATCACTCCTTAAAAGACTCAATTACAAAGCTATACAAAATATTACAGGTATTAAGATATATGGATTAAGGAGAATGTACCAAAATCAAACAGCTTTTCTGTGTGCCAGCAGTAGCCAGGTAGAAATGGGGAGGTGGAGGGGTGCCTGGGCGGCTGTGGCTCAGTCGTCTGACTTCAGCTCAGGTCATGATCGCTCAGTTTGAGAGTCTGAGCCCCATTTTGGACTGGCTTCCATCAGCACAAAGCCCACTTGGGATCCTCTATCCCACACTCTCTCTGTGCCTCAAAAATAAATAGACATTAAAAAAAAACAGAGGCGTGCCTGGGTGGCTCAGTCGGTTAAGTGGCCGACTTCAGCTCAGGACATGACCTCACGTTTTGTGGGTTTGAGTCCCATACTGGGCTCTGTGCTGACAGCTCAAAGCCTGGAGCCTGCTTCGGATTCTGTGTCTTCCTGTCTCTCTGCCCTTCCCCCCACTCGCACTCTCTCTCTCTCTCTCTCTCTCTCTCTCTCAAAAAACAACTTTACGTTCATTTGTTAATAAACAATAAAAAAAAGAAATGGGGAGTTAGAGGTGAATCTCATTCAAAAATAAAAGCAAAATTATAAAACAACTAGGAAGACATTTAACCAGAAAGATTTATGAAACTTTATTGGACATTAAGAAAAAAGACAATGAATAAATAGATATACTGTGATATTATAATAATATATATTTGGTCTTCATCGCAGTTCCTGGCACAGTTTCCTGAGTGATGAGAGCCATAAGGTGTCTTTTGCTGTGTTAATGAAGTAACTTCTGGATAGCACCTAAGGATGGCCTGGTTGACCAGGGGAACCAACTTTGTGATTAGAGGGACTGAACCTGAAGTCCCACCCCTCGGCTTCCAGGAAGAGAGAGGGCTAGAGGTTGAGCCAATCATCAGTGGCCAATGATTTAATCAATTATCCCTAGATAATGAAGCTTCCATAAAACCCAGGATTCCAAGGTCAGGATTCCAAAACTTCCAGGTTGGTGACACAGAAAGAGTGGGGCTCCCAGAGAAGGTCTGGAAGCTCCAAGCCATCTCCCACATTCCTTGCCCTGTGCGTCTATTCCATCCATCTGTTCCTGAACTATATCCTCTTAAAGTAAGCCAGTAACCTAGTGAAACATTTCCTGAGTCTGTGAACTGCTCTAGAAAATTAATCAAACCCAAAAGAAGGAAGGGGTCATAGTACCTGTGATTTATAACCAGTCAGAAGCACAGGTAACAACCTGGGCTTGCAACTGACATCTGAAGTGGAGAGTGGGGGACAGTCTTCTAGGACTGAAATCTTAACTTTGGAATCTGATGATACTTCCAGGTAGATAGTATCAGAGTCAGGTCGAATTATAGGACCCCAAGTTGGTGCCCAGAAAATTGATGACTGTATGGGGAAACCTCCTCACCTCACACACATTGAAATTGGGTCCCAGAAGTGCCCTGCAGGTCCCTCACTACTAGGGACTGTCATCTGTACGATCATGAAGAATTTCTCAGACTTAGGAAATAACAAATACATTAATGAGCTGATCGTGTGTTAGATTTAAATAATATAACAGAAAGTGAATTTAGAATAATAGTCATAAAATTAATCGCTGGCTTTTGAAACAGTATAGATGCTAGTAGAGTAACTTTGCTACAGAGATCAAGGATCAAGGACCAGTCAATAGGAGTCATGCTGGTGCGCTAAACTTAAATGCATGGTAACAAAAAATGAAACCGCACCACGCATGCTCTTCGATTGAAGAGGCAGAGGGAGGAGAATAGGTGAACTATAGGAAGATAAAGTTGGTGGAAAAGAGGAAGCTGGAGAAAGAGAAGAGAGGAAAAAAACTATGGGAGAGGGGAAAAATTAGAGAACTGGGTGATACACCAAAAGAAATAATACACGATAATTGGTACTCAGAGGAGGAAGCAGAGAGGGAAGGTGCTGAAGGTGTACTGAAGAAATATAATAGAGTGAACTTCCCTGAAGCGGGAAGCGAAAAAAGGTATTGAAGGTTAAGAGGTACAGAGAACTCCCTTCAGACGTGAACTTGAATCGACTGCTTCGGCACGCATATATCATAGTGAAATGCAAAATACAAGATAAAAGAGGAAAAATTCTGAAAGCAGGTAAACGTGCCCTCACATATGGGCAGACCTATAAGACTGCAGACTGATTCTTGAAACTTAGCAGGCCAGAAAAGGATTGCACTACTAGTGTGGGGTACAGACAGAAAAATATGCAGTCGAGAATCCTTATCCAGCCCGTTTCGTATTTAGAACAGAAGGAGAGATAAAGTCTTCCCAAAAACAACAAAAACTGAAGAATTTCACAATACTAAAGAAGCCCTACAAGAGAGATCCTTATTTATGGGGGACCCTAGAGACAAAGTACTGTAGAGACATCACTACAAAGCATAAAAACATACAGACATCAAGTTGGGTGACTTCTCAAACCCATAATATCTTTTCTTTCTATAATAACAACAGAATGTAAAATGACACGCGCGCCAAAACAACTAAAAGACATATAGGGTAAAAAAAAAAACAATCACCATTTATTGCTTGCCTGCTGGGAGACTATTTGTGACCAGGGAGGAGGAGATTGAGAGAGTGAGGGGATGGAGAATTATTCATCGGCGCGTAACAGCCAAAAAGAAAGGAGTAAAGCCACAATATATCGTGAGACAAACTAGACTTTAAATTAAAGGTTGTAATGTTAGAGATGAAGAAGGACATATATAATAGTGACAGGGTCCATCCATCAGGAGTATTAACAATTATAAATGTCTATGCCGGAATGAGCTTCAAATATATAAACAATTATCATAAACATGCTGCTAGCAAGGCTTATTGATAAGAATGTGGTAATTGTAGGGGATCTCAACACCTTCCACCAGAAATGGATAGATCATTCCTAGACACACGGTCAATAAAAAGAAACAATCTTTATTATTGGATCAGATGGACTTGACAGATATATTTATATGGCATCCAAAGCAACAATATATTTTCTTTTCTAGTGGTTACGGAACAGATTTCAAGATATCATCATATATACTGGGTCACAAACAGCCCCTTCCAGCAGTTTACATAAAGAATTGAAATCATACCATGCATACTTCTCAGACTACAATGGTGGTTGAAATCAACCACAGAAATTGGAAACTCAAAAGATGGAGGTTAAAAGAACAACGGCACGTGAGTGGAAGTCAACCAGGCAATTGAGAGAAGAAATTAAAAAAATATATGAACAAACGAAAAATGAAAAATACAACAATCCAAACGCTTTGGGAGATAGCCGGTTGGCAGTCCCTGAGAGGAAAAAATACATTAACCAGGCCTGACGAAGAAAAACACCAAGAAAACTCAAATAACAAAAATCTAAATAAAAGCACACCCGTGTGTATAAAAGAAATAGAAGCAGAATAAAAGCAAAGGCAGCCTAAACCCAGCAGAAGAGAAATAATAAAGATCAGAAAGCAGAAATAAACACATAGAATCTAAAAAAAAATCAGAGCAGATCAATGAAACCAAGTGAGTTGGTTTTTTGAAAAAGAACAAAATTGATAAAACCTCTAAAATTTTACATATACTGAAAAAAGGGAGATAACCCAACAGATAAAATCATGAATGAAAATGGAATTATTACAACCAATTCCTCAGAGGCCAAAAACAATTATCAGGGAATACTATGAAAATTATATGCCAACAAGAATTGGACAACACAACCTGGAAGAAATGGACAGTAAAATTCTGAAATCTACACACTCTTCCAAAACTCCTAATCAGAGGAAAAGCTTGAACAGACCTTGTAGTCCAGCGAAGAAATCAGTCATCAAAAAAATTCTCCAACAAATAAGAGTCCAGGACCGATGGCTTCCCAGGGAGTTTTCAACAGATCGTGCTGGGAAGCAGAGAGAGATAATATTGTACCTATCCTCGTTATTCCAAGAAATAGAAAGGGAAGAAACTTCTCCATAGACTCATTCTATGAAGCCAGTATTAATGCCTAAACCAGACAGAGACAGTAAAGAAAGAGAACTGTCAATATCCCTGATGAATATGGATGCAAAAAATTTTCAGTAAGATAATAGCAACTCACTCAACGCATATAAAAAGAATTATTCAAGTACTAAGGATCGCGCGTGGGATTCATTCTTTGGATGCAGGCTGGTTCA